CTAAAAGTTATTTCATAAATAAGAAATATTAAGTTCAATAACATTTATAAAAACTATGGTGTGTGGCAAATATTCAAACTCTGGGACATTCCAGCAAACATTATTGTGTATATTCAGATGATGTAACATTCAGGTACCCTAGTAAGCGAGCAGCTCTAGATAGAATCACAGGTTGAAACTGACAGTTTAAGACCATATTTTGCTTCCAAAACTTGATATTTCTTAAAACATCCTTCATAAGATTTGTATGAATATTTGCATAGAATGTACCATGCTTAAAAAATACTAATATGTATTTTATTTGCAACAATTACTCAACATTACAGGCAGACAAATCACAAACACACATTTATAACAGGGCTGTTGCTACATGTAAGGATGTTAAACTGATTAGATCATGACTGTTTTTTTTTTCCTTTGCACTCCCGTCCTGGTGTTCGAAAACATCAACCTTAATCTTGGGCTGTGTCTGTATTTTCTGCTCTTGCGTTCCATTGGACATCAATGGTTTCATCAGACCAGCAACAGCTCTATGTCACTTGCAAAAGTTTAATTATCATAGGAGAATTATAAAGTTCTTTTCTGTTTTCCCCACTTTTCAATTGATTTTGCTTTGAATTTGGGATTTGGAAAAACCGGAATTTCTTGAGCAATGCTAGGAAGGGATTCCCATATGGAAAACCTGGTCAAGATCCGCTGCAGGCCCATCAGGAAGGCCCACAAGCAGGCTCTCTGGAAAGCAGAGTAGACAGCTTGATGAGGGGGGAGTAGCTGAGACTCAGGGGCTCCAGGACAAAGTCCGTGTGGCAACAGCAAAGCTCAAGCCCATTTTCATCAATTTAGTCTCAGTTAGAAAGTGCCCTGGGAAGCAGAACCACCAGCCTCACTCAGCAGTTAATGAAGAACCTTCAAAGAGTGAAAGAAGGTTGACAACTTACTTTGAAAGGACAAGTCCTGACTTAGCCTTTATGATTTGTAAGCTAGAGAAGGAAAATATTAACATTAGGGAATGCTGACATGCCTGGTTTCATTAGTTAAAGTTAGAACTATACCTACTTCTTATTTCGTTATATAAAGTTGAGTTTCTTCCTAGGTTTTTTTTTTTTGCTACGGAAGCCAAACATCTTTCTGGTGATATTGACAGATTTGGTTTTTATAGTTCCAAGGAGATGGTAGATTTGGAATCTTGAGACATATTTGCTCCTTGAAACCACATTTGTTAAAATGTGGGAGAAAATTGTGTTTGCTAAAATTATAACTTAAAGTCGTGAGCAGTTGATTTTACCCTTTAATCCTAGTGATAATTAACTTGACCTGACATTACAGACCTCACTCTATTTCATTTAATCTCTATAGAAGGACTTCACAAATTTCTTTAAATTTAGAAAATTAGCTAAAAGCACATTTCCTATTGTTAAAATGTATTACAAGCAAAATGAGGGAACTCTGTAAGAGATTAACTTTAAAATTCTAGAATGTCAACGCATTATGGCATGGCTCAGAGCTCTGTACCCTTTAGGTCGTACACAGATGAGGAAGTTGCTCCCTCTGAAGACAGACTTGCGATGCTCAAGCCTCATGGAGGTGATGCTTAGGGCCTGGAGAAGAGGATCAACCAGGCCCATGACGGCAGTGACCCCTGAGTCTCCAGGCCGTGCTCCCTCTGGAAAAGCGCCAGAATCCTAGAGAAGTAGAGGCTGCAATAAACAGTGGGACAGATCCAAACTGCATTCCTAGGATTTCTGTTTGAAGTTTGGTGTTGTAGGGAGAAAAACCAGCAAAGCTGCCTTGTAATTTTAGTTTTGGATAGGTGGAATGACAAGAGGAACAAGCCTGTTACTTCAGGGCCAACAGGAGAGGAGCGTTTTGTAACAGTAAACTGTGGTTCTTTAAGGCTGCTATAGCATGGCTTATTCCCATAAGGGGATAAACTGGGCCTGGCCATCTGGAAATTGAGAAGTGACGTGGGATGGGGAGAAAATGGCCATTTGCAAGATGCCCCAGGGATTTTCACTTTCTGAGTCAAAGAAAGGGAATGAATGATGGGTCCACAGTTCCAGATATCCAACTCCTGGAATCAAACGCAGACTTCTCCGTTGGAGTTTTGGTGACCTTTCACACTCCAGGGTCATCGACGAGTTTACTTGTCATATTTACTGTTGTTTACAAGGTCATACTGACTTACAGTAGAGCTCCAATGTTCCCAAAAATCAGAGAGGGGGGTCAATAAATAATTAACTTGGTTTCCAAGGGAACAGTTTCCTGAGTGGACTGAAGACAGCCACTGAGACAACCTTCACATGTCCTGGCCAGTGAAGGCTAGACGTAGACAGTGACCAGATAAGCAAAATTCCACGTAGATCTTAGGACAAGGAATGCATAGGTGGTTTTAGGGCCAAGGAAGCAAATCAATACGTTCTTTGTCATAACTAACAGGCTATCCTGGAGAACGGAGCTGCTGGGGCAAGCTCAGGACCCCTGGGAAACTGGGCAGCCTAAGCAGCTTTCTGCATCCTCGCTGTAAGTGTGAGAGAATCACAGATTTCCCTCAGAGAATAAAGTACACCAAACTTGAATTAAGCTGCTATTGCTTATCGCTGCAGTTAAAAGGGAAGAGGTTTTTAGTGTCCATCTAGCTAGGCGTTGAGTTTATTTTTTGTTTTTATTTTTAAACAATTCCAGATGTACAGAAAAGTTGCAAACATAGTACAAAGAATTCTTGTAAACAAACCCTTTATTGTTCATCCAGATTCACTTTTCCACATTTGCTTGATCATTCCCACTTCTGTCTGTCTATCTATCTATCTATGTATCTATCTATCTATCTATCTATCTCCATCCATCCACTGCTCCATCGAATCTGTCTACTGCTCTATCCATCCATCCACCCATCCATCATCTATCTGTATAAAATCTCAGAGATAATGTCCCTTCCCCTCAACTCCATCCAGTGATCATTTTGTAAAATAAAGAACATTCTCTTATACAGCCAGAGTACAATGATCAAAATCAGGATACAATGCTATGATCTAATCAACAAACCTTCTTCAACTTCCACCTATCGTCTACTGCTGTCCTTTACAATCAAAGGGGGGAAAAGCCCTCAGGTCCAGGATCTAATCCAGGATCACACATTACATTTAGTTATCTCGTTAGTCTCCTTGAATCTGGAACACTTCCTCAGTCTCTCTTTGTCTTCCATGAGTTGACGTTTTTGAAGCATACAGACCATTTCTTTTGAAGAATGTCCCTCAATTTGGGTTTGATTGATGTTTCCTCAAGATTATAGGTTCAGGTTCTGTATTTTGGCAGGAAAACCATAGAAGTGATATTGTGTTCTTCTTGCATTATATCAGGAGGCCCAAGACATCCATTTGTCTGACAACTGGTGATGTTAACGCCAATCACTCTGTTAAAATTACCGTTATTCATTTTAATACTCAAATTGTCCCAGATATGGCCAGTGGAAGCCCCCTTCAACCTGACCATTGTGGTTTGTGACATGTCCCCATAATTTTTTGAGCAGTTTATAACTTTCTGAAACAGAAAGATATCCCAGCCTCAGTCCTAAAATTAGCTATTTCTCCAAAGGCTTATAATTCCTTTTACTGGAAAATATTGAGAAACAAGATCTGCATGGTGCATGCTAGGTGCGGGCAATGTGTGTGTGCACGAGTGAGTGTGTAAATGTTCATTTACAATATGGAAATGTAGTTAGGTTCAGTTAATTTTGTTTATACTCCATTTTGGGTTTCTATCTTTATCGATTTTATATATTTATATTTTAAGCATTTGAAATATAATGTGGATCTAGAAGTCAAAACTATAGAAAATATATAGTTAGAGAAATGTCACTCTCCCCACATCCCTTCTATCCCGTTCCTATTCCCAGTTTTTTCTGCCCTATTTCCAGCCACCACCACCCACTGTAACCAATCTCATTATTTTCTTATTTATTCTTCTTATGTTTTACTTTGCAGAAATGAACAGATACAGGTATATTTTCCCGTTATTTCTTACCTAAAAAGTACGTAGTATAGAAACAGTTTTTCTTTTTCCACTTAACAAAAGATACTGGAAATCACCCCATATCGGTTCAGACAAGGAGTTTTTGTTCTTTATCATAGCTGCATAGTACTCCATTACATGGAGGTATTCAATTATTCTCTGATGTTCAGCCACATCGTTTTTTGTTTTCTTTTTTTCAACATTTCTCAGTTACAATGAATGCTGCAAAGAGTTACTTTGTGCATAAGTATTTTCTTATTTTTGGAGGTAGGTCTCTAGAGGTGGAATTCCTGGCACAAATCGAAAACGTACACACAGTATCTTCAGATATTGCTAAATATCCCCAGTTTGTATTATGTATAAGACTGTGTTTCCCACAGCCCTTCCAAAAGAATGTGCTGTCCTACTTTTTAATTTTTACCAATTTCAGTGAAAAGTATCTCAATACTGTTTTAATTTGCATTTCTCTAACTATGAATGAGGTTAAACATCTTTTCACATGTTTAATGATATTCTGTCTTTTATCCAACTTTCTATTGGGTACATGCTTTTCCAAAACTTTGCTGTGAATTGCATTTTCCTTTCAATTTGCCAGGCAGAAGCTAGAAGTTATACATTTGCTTAACATTCATCTTGTCCCTTGATTTTTTCATAATAAAATTGTATCTGCAGTATTTTACTTCTTGATATGGCAGTGTTCTTAGTGAAATTTTAATCAAGCTGTCTATAACCTGTACACTTTTAAAAGTTCATTTTTATAAGTTTTTTTTTTTTTTTTCTGTCGCCCAGGCTGGAGTGCAGTGGTGCAATCTCAGCTCACTGCAAGCTCCGCCTCCCAGGTTCATGCCATTCTCCTGCCTCAGCCTCCCAAGTAGCTGGGGCTACAAGCACCCACCACCACGCCTGGCTACTTTTTTGTATTTTTAGTAGAGACAGGGTTTCACCGTGTTAGCCAGGATGGTCTCCATCTCCTGACCTTGTGATCCGCCTGCCTCGGCCTCCCAAAGTGCTGGGATTACAGGCATGAGCCACCGCGCCTGGCCCATTTTTATAAGTTTTAATTGATTAAATTCTGTACCAAATTATCACCGTCTTGCTTGCCTCATGCCTTAAGAAAACCTAATGATTCCCCAGATCATTTCCAGGCAGCCCTGACATGGGACTAAGAGAGAAAAGTGGCCCTCTGAAGAAGGGGTTCCGGGAGCACATGCTTGAAGGGTAATCCCACAACACAACACACACACAGGGCCATCCTACCTCCTCTCCCACCATGGCGCCTGGTCCTACCAGCCTCCAAGACCTTGCCAAAAACTGGCAGGCTGAGATGTATCTTCCCAACTCACCAACCAGCAGAAAACATTTATCCAGCAGCCAGCCATAGAATCCCTGGTTTTAAGATTTGCCTGCAGTCTCTTCTTTGTCCCCAAAAAGCAGCGTCCCTCTGATTTAAGCCTCATCTTCTCCATAATTTGCAAGAGTAGGAGGAGGGAATCGGTAATCCAGTCATTAAATGTTATGACCTACTAAGAGAAAGGCTCCGATGGCCCTGGATTTTCTTACCCTTCTCAACACACTGTCCCCCGGACAGCTGTGATGAGTTCAGGTGCCTTCTCTCCTCCCTTCAGCCTCCAGAATCTCTTTGGTGTGGGAGAGATTAATAATCCAAATAAAACTGCCATGGGAGGAGGAATGGAGGAATTTTTAAAAGTCACTTGTCTACTTTCTGCATCTCTCAGTACAGCCCAGGCAGAAGGAAGAATTAGTGCCACCGGGAGAGCTATCACACTGCTGGCCTGAGAAGGGCCCAGCCTCTCACATGGAATGGCCCCCGGCAGCCTGGGAGTCCCCAGGCAGATGCGCTGGGGAGGAGGTGTGGGGCAGATGGCGACAGTAGCTGTCGGGAAGGAAGGCTAAACATCGTGGGCCGAAGTCAAAGATAAACTTCCATCCTCCTCCTTCTCTCCCCACATAACAGCCAAAAGATGCTGGTTATTTCAAGGAGTTTCTAAGAATGGCATTTGATATATATCACGACCTTCCCAGGGAAGCTGGGGATGAGGCATCAGAGTTTCCTCTCCGCTCTGCAACAGAGACACCCCAGCACATGCACGGGCCCCACCTGAAGTCGCCATAAACACACATACACATGCTTTCCTTCTCATTGAGAAAGGAGCTGGGAGTATTGGGAGTAGAAGTCGTTCCACTTGCAAGAATGGATGACCCAGATCCAGCGTCGTCTGGCGATCACTGGCTGTTGGTCTGACCCCAGTCTCCGACGGTGTGCTGGATTTCCCACGCTTGCGTGGTACAGGTCTGGAGCACAAGCACGTGTTTACCCAAAAGATCCTTCTTCATCTCCAGACACCGCTTGGTGTCCCTGTTTATGATGGCTCCTCCCTGGAGGGGAAGAGAGACAGAGCCAAGGTGCTGAAATGCCTCAGTAATTCATCATCTCATCTAGCCCTGCTCTCCCTGCTGCACTCAGCCACATTCTTGAAGGACCTCTCAGTCCTCCACAAGTCATCCAGGGGAGAAAAGGAAGCAGGATGTAGGATGAGACCACCCAGTGCTTCCTCTACCAGCCCCATGGCAAAGTGACCAACCAGGCGGCGTTGCTCTGGCTTCCTGTGATGCCCTCAGCCTCTTCTGAGATGGAAGCATTGGGTCAGTACTGACTACCACGGAACAAAGGCATCTGTGAGCCTTCTCAGCTTGGCCCTCCTTTCCACGTCCTCACCCCTGACCCCATGAGACTCATCAGGGTCACCTTCACCTTGTGCTTCTCTCCCTCTTCAGGGAAACTGTGTCGTGGGCCTGGAGCAGGAGCTACATTCATCAGGAACCTCAGCCTCTGAGGCAGCCTCCTGCCTCTCCTGTTGCGGGGACTTCGCCAAGGTTTATGACTGGGAACGTGATAGGCATCAGTGCTACAATGGCAGGGTTGAATCCTTGCTCTACCATATACGAACCGTGTGGGCTTGGGCAAATTACCTGCTCTCTCCAAGTCTCAATGTCAATCTCATCTATAAAACGGGTTTAGAGTTAATATTAAGGTTAGAATTAGGGTTCATATTGATGGACCATCTTGGGCCTGACACATGAAACATGCAACAAATCTTAGTTCATCTCTGCCACTCCCCATTCTCAAAGGAGAAGAGAAAGGAAGGGCCATCCTTCTCTTTGATCCTATGTGATTCCCACAACCTCCCTGAGCTTCTTCCCCCTTATCTTCATATCTCAGCAACTGACAATCCTGCCATCTGTCCAAACTACCGTCTCTCCTGGTCCTGCCCTCTGCTCCCGGCCCTCTCTCTCCCACATCCCTCTCTACCCCTTCGCAGGACTCACATGATGTATATTAGTGCCTGGGTCAGGCTGTTTCCTCTTCATGCCCTGCACTCTACTATCATCCTTAGTAAGGTGCATAACATTCATTCTGATGGCTGGTGAGAAACCCTGACCTCACTGTCCCCCTTCAGACAAACTGCCACCAAGTTCTTGAACACCAAGCGGGACTGACTGCAGCTCTAACATCTCCAGATTTCTGCTTCCTCTCTCACAATCACCTCCCTGCTTCTCATCTCTTCCCATCACAAACTGCCTCCAACGGCCCTTGCTCCCCCAAATTTGCCTGTCCCTGGATTCCCCGAAGCCCCAGCCACCCCTTTCCTCCTCTGGGCAGCCATCCAACATTGGCCATTCAGGGCAACTCTTCAGATTCTGGAACTTCTCCTCCACCACCGCCACCGCTCCTCTCTCTCTGCTTCCAGACCACAGAGCCCTTGTGGACAGGGTCTGCCAACTGAGCAGGCCTGGCTCATAAACCTGCCCACATGGCCCCAGAGCTGGGCTTGCTCCCCAGGGTTCCTCTTCCAGGCCTCTTCAGCATGCTCTGTCTGTCAGCCCCCACCTGGCACTTATGTTAACGAAATGTCAAGAACACCACACTTCCATTCAATCCTCCCGTCCCCTGCAAGCCCTCAGCGATCCTGAGGACATGGCCTCACAGATGATCTCAAAGGAGCGGCCCCACGCCCACCTCACCGGCCAGCAGCCCCCTCTGCTCCCTGAGCCCCGGCCATCCTCGATGCTAGAGAAACACTCTTCCTAACATCCGTCTTTTATTTCTCCCTCTTTGCAGATTCCTTTTCTACTGCCTTTAAACAAGTCCAAATGTCACAGTATTAGAAGGACAAAATAAACCCAGACCTCAACTCTACTAACCCTTTCAACAAACATTCAGTTTTTCTCTCCCTTTCAGAATCAAATTCCCAAGCAACGAGGCAATAGCACACATTCGTTAAGATCCCGTGTTTGAACGCTGGGCATTTACTACACTGTGTAGCCCTCAGCAAATAATTGGACTCCTCAGTGCCCTGGTTACTTCATGGGTGAGATGGAGTTAGTGATCATACTTCTCTTATGAAACCTATGTTTCATAAGAACTAAATGAGATAATGTTTAACCTCACACAGGGGCATATATGTGTTCAGTAACTCTTGGTTATTCTAATTTAGTGTGACCTTTTAGACAAAGTCAGTGGTCTATTTTCTATTTCCACTCGACTTCCACGTGACATGAGCTTTGACAGTGTTCCACACATCCTCTAGTTGCTTTCAACTTGTGTTCATCTGGATCTTACACATTTTTGTTTTGGGTTTGTTTGTTTGTTTTGTTTTTGCCTTTTTTTTTTTTTCTTTTGAGACACAGTCTCGCTCTGTTTCCCAGGATAGAGTGCAGTGGCATGATCTCAGCTCATTGCAACCTCCGCCTCCCGGGTTCACCTAATTCTTCTGTCTCAGCCTCCTGAGTAGCTGGAATTATAGCCGGCCGCCACCACGCCCAGCTAATTTTTGTATTTTTAGTAAAGATAGAGTTTCACCATGTTGGCCAGGCTGGTCTTGAACTTCTGGCCTCAAGTGATCTGTCCGCCTTGGCCTCCCAAAGTGCTGGGATTATAGGCATGAGCCACCGCGCCTGGCCGTTTTGGTCTTTGTTTTGGGGTGCTGCCTGTCAGAGTTTTTAAAGGATTTTTGTTTTTGTTTCTTTTTCACTTTTACAAAAGTAAGAGATGCTTCTTTTTTAACTTGAAAATATACTTTAAAAATATATAAAATACTTTAAAATAAATGGCCAGGGCTCTGGGCACATGGGCTACTGGCAGGTGAGGTGGGCATGGAGCAGCAACTTTGAGATCATCCGTGAGGTCATGTCCTCAGGATCGCTGGCAGCTTTCAGGGGAGGGGATGATTGACTAGAAGTGTATTTATCAAAAATATATTTTAAAATATTTTATATATAAAGTATATAAAAGCACTCATAACAAGATAACATTGTATATGTGGTCTTTACATCTTGCTTCTTTATATAAATTTAACATTCTACATACATCTTTTCCAATTTTATTAATTTTTTGGAATAGATTTCTTCAGAATATCATTTGAATGGTTATATAATATTCAGTTCAAAGCATTCCCTACTGTTGAACATTTAATTTTTCCTTGTGTTTCACTGTGATAAGCATTAAGATATTTTCTACAGTAATCCTGGCCTACGTTCTATACTATTTTTTAAGTAAAGATATTGTCCTAAAAAAGAATCAGTGCCTTAAAAAGAGTTATAGTTAGTTTGGGTTCTGAGGAGCGTCTGGTTTTCCTACACGTGGGCAAGTTGCTTCTGGAGCTGTGCCAGTCTCCACGCTCACCAGCGGTGTGTGGGAGCACTCCTTCCCCACTTCGTCTTTCCCCACACTTCCCACCCCTCACCATGAGCGCTCTCCTCCTCCTCACTACTCCTCACAAAGACCCTCTTTGTATTGTGAGCTGTTGCTTCACCCCGAAGATGGATGACCTTCCCCAAACGCCCCCTTACTTCAGTGGCATCACTATCTCAATGCAGTGCTCCTCAAGTTAAAGTCCATGTGTCTGACTAGGCCTTCTCTTCTTCAACTGGCTCCCCGCCCCATCACTGGATCTCTTGTGTCACAGGGGTCATAGCCTCCTCTGGTACACCCAAAACACAGAATCATGAAATCAAAGAAAACAAAGGGATGATCTAGTCTCATCTCCCTCTCAATTTTGGAAAATTTCTTTGGTAACTTTTTAGTAAATTAATTTGTAAGCTGTGTCTACAAAGAAAAGTGAGAACCAGAAGAGCCCAACATTCAATCAAGTATCACTTTTCATATCCAAAAGAACTGTAGACCTAAGAGGTAAGATGGATGGAAAAGGATTAGATGGAGTGAATCCACTCAAGACTAACTTAATATTAGGTAACACACCAGAAATTACATGATCACCTCCCTTTTCAGCTTTTGTAGTTCTTGACATAGTGGCCATAGAAATGGACCCAGCCTGTATGTTAGAATGGTTGGCAGAATTTCCCTGAATGTCCTGCCTTCCAGATCTCACAGCCAACCCAAATCTCTTTTCTGTCAGTAGCCTCAGTCAGCTGAGAAGGCGATCATCCAAAATTTTCTTGGCAAGGCGACCTTCAAAATGTTTGGAAGGCATAATTATTTATTTAGTAATGGTAGGCTGTTATCATGAAAAGAAAAAACAGAAAAAAGGATATGGAAAAATGAGAATAAAATTTTACCTAAAAATATTATTTCTTTAGAATACATTGTATCTTTAATTCATAGGAGATTTAGGATAAAGTGTAGCTATTAAGGGAATCAAATACATAGCACTTGCCAAAGATTCTGTGTATACTTACTATTTTTAAGTACTTGTATCTAAGAAAATGGGCATCTTACAGATTAATCTTGTGATAGCAATTTTAAAATGTGTATTTGAGTAATTAAATTGGTGACTTGATGGTGAAATTTTACTGACTTTATAAACACTTCTGAAACATTTAAGAGAACTTAAGAATTGAAAAATTTAAAGTCAGGTCAATGAAGTTCTTAAGAAAGGAAATTTAACGTATTAAATTTGTAAATACAGCTCATAATGTTTAATGGAATTTAATTTATTAAATTTAAAAAAAATCTTCTTTAAAGGGGATTGTCAAAACTTGTTAGCCTTACGGATAAAATAATAAGATTTGTAACCTGAACTTAAAAGCTTAAAGAAAAACCATGATTCTTTGAATACTCCTTTGCACCAAGTACCATGCTAAATGCTTTACACACACTATCTCATTAAATGTTTTAATTTATAACTTGAACACAGTGAATATTAATTTTTTGAAACCAAGTAAACTTGTAGTAGTTTTCTTCACACAAACAAAAAAGATATGACTGAGGACATCAAAAACTCATATTTAGTACCCTACGCTTGCCAGATGCTCAGACATGCTGTGCTTGGTGACTGCCATTGACGGAGAACTCACCACCATGCTCAGCAGCCTATTCTTCTGTAGGAAACCTGAAGCTGTGAGGCCTTTAGTAAGTCTTCCTCTTGCTCCTACATTAAGTCAAAATCTGCCTCCTTAATCTTTACCTATTGGTCTCAGTTCTGCCCTCCTGTGACATTAAACAAATCTACTCCCTCTTCCTCTTAAAGACAGCGTCGCCTTTTCTCTATCCACAAGCCTAACAAGCCTTTCAAGCTCATATCTCCTGGCCTGCCAATCTTCCATTTGCTCTGCAACCATTTGTTGAGTGCCTGCCATCTTCTAGGGGTTGTGCCAGATGCTAGAGAAAAAACAGCAAACCCCAGGCCCTGCCCTCCAGCTCACAGCCAAATGATGAAAAGAAGGAAGTGAGCAGACAATTGCAAGAGACGGTGAGACTAGGGCTACAAAAGCGCCCCTGAGAGCACCAAGAGGAACCACTCAACTGACTCCTCTGGGCTCACGGAAGGCTTCCAAGGAGGTGACGTGTAAGGCCAGGGGAACACTTTGTAGTTGGTCTGGTGACGAAGTGGGAGGAGAGGGAATAATACCTGCAGAAAGGCCTAAGATAAGAGGGAACCTGGATTTTCATTGAATTACATGTAGTTCCATAGAATTGGAGCGTAAAGTGAGACACCAGAGACTGAGAAGACATTACCCTCCTCCTCCTAATCGATATTGTCTAGTTCAGGGAAGCTTAATCTAGGATGCAAAAAACCTCTGAAACTGTAAGCAAATCTTGCACATAGGTTCATATGTATGTTTTCCTGGAGAGAGAGAGTCCATAGCTATCAGCGAATTCTCAAAGGCGTCATAAACTTTGAACAGTTAGAAACTGTTGAACTAGACTGTCCGTGTGGCACCTGAACCAAGCATAGTACCGCATTCAGAGACACAGTCACAGACAGAGCAGTAGCTCCCTCCAGGAGGCACTGCCCCTTCCTAACGAATTGGCCCAAGAGTGCAGAAGCTTTTGGAGCAACCCCATCCATTGTACATTCCCCATAGACTGTTGTCAGCCAAGACCCTCGAGTCATCGTCACGTGAATTCTGCCAGATTCCCTCCACCCTGTCCTTGGTCATTTGATGTTGAAGTTAAAGACAGCGCTTCTACATTAGCCCCCGTCAGATTTCAGCCTAGTGTTCCACACCCTCTGATAATCATTAATAATAAATGGATCACAATGGCTAATGCGTATTGAACACTCTTCTGCTCCAGGCACCACGCTAAATGCTTTGCACACGCTATCTCATTTAATCCTCCCAAAAGTCACATACAGAAGATATTATCATCTCCATCATTTTATAATGAGGAAACTGAGCTTCAGAGAGGGTAAGGAACTTGCTGTACTGAGCTAGGACTTGTGCCCAAACTCTCAACTGTTCAGCTACAACAGACTCCAATATTTCCTCTCCTTAACCAACCCTGCCTTAGTCAAGAGACTCAGTGTTTCACACCCAGTTTGCTGTTTCCAATCTTTTCCCTACACGGGGCCACAAGAAGTAATTCTCGTAAAACAATATCAAATCAAATCTGAACCTTTCATATACCTGTCCTTTAAAAAAACATGTAACTCGCCCAGCGCAGGAGCTCACACCTGTAATCCCAGCGCTTTGGGAGGCTGAGGCGGGTGGATCATCAGGTCAGGAATTCAAGACCAGCCTGGCCAACATGATGAAACCCTGTCTCTACCAAAAATACAAAAATTAACTGGGCATGATGGCGCGTGCCTGTAATCCCAGCTACTCGGGAGGCTGAGGCTGGAGAATTGCTTGAACCAGGACCTGGGAGGCGGAGGTTGCAGTGAGCCGAGACTGTGCCTCTGCACTCTAGCCTGGGCTACAGAGCCAGACTCAGTCCCAAAAGAAAAACAAAACAAAACAAAACAAAAACATGTAACTCACCGGTTTAAAATCCCAATATACATGCAGTCCATGCCTAGCTGCCTCAGAGCATCGTTCTAAGGTGGGCTTCTCCGCGTTGCCGGGGTCTGCCAGGCAGCGATCTCTAGCACTGGCCTCTGCAATCAGTTGTCCCACATAGAGCTCCCCGGTTAGGTGATAGTAGACATTCTGGAAAAAAAAAAAAAACCAGAGGACTCGCCATAGGCATCGTCAGCCAGCAGGACGCCCTAGCCGGAGGGAGAGCAGGAAGTCTGATCTCAGACACCCAGTCACACCGGGAGCACTGAACCTTCCTGGACAACATGAAGCCACCTCTGCTTCCTCCTCCTTAGTCTCCCCTTGAATCCAGGGAGAAGGCCAGGCCTAGGGGGTTCCAACAGAATCAGAGCTTACATGGATGAAGAAGCTTGTCTTTGAAGGAAAAACAAAACTGAACTCCAGAATCTGTCACTGTAGGCCTCAGCTATGGGTTTGTTGTCAGAAAACCTTTTAAATTCCTGATTTGACACTGTCTTGCTCAGTGAGCTTGGAGAAGTAGGTTATTAATGTGTCTCCATTTCTGCATCTAAGTGGAAATGGTATCTATTGTGCATGCCTCAAAAGGCTGCTATGAGGGCAGCATGCAAAGTTTCAGAGGACAGACGTGAATATTGTCTCTTAAAAAAAAAGTTCCGGCTGGACGCGGTGGCTCACACCTGTAATCCCAGCACTTTGGGAGGCAGAGGCGGGGGGATCACGAGGTCAGGAGATCGAGACCATCCTGGCTAACACGGTGAAACCCTGTCTCTACTAAAAATACAAAAAACTAGCCGGGCGTGGTGGCGGGCGCCTGTAGTCCCAGCTACTCGGGAGGCTGAGGCAGGAGAATGGTGTAAACCCGGGAGGCGGAGCTTGCAGTGAGCCAAGATCGCGCCACTGCACTCCAGCCTGGGCGACAGCACGAGACTCTGTCTCAAAAAAAAAAAAAAAATCCCCTGGCCGCACCTTCCACATGGTGCCAGGGCTCTTCGTCCATCCCTTGGAGGAGCATCTGCTCAGCCTCTATCCTCTCTAGCTCTGTTTCCTTCCCTATAGGAAAAGCACAGGTGGCTTCACCTGCCCACTCTCCCAGGCTTTCAAGGAGCCCTGAGAAGATGGCAGGAGCTGTGGGAGGAGGGGAAAAGGAAGGGACCAGAGGTGATTGTCAATGCAGATATCATCATGGAGAATGAATGAACGTGACAGAGCATAGCCTTTCTACCTATCCTCCCTGTAACTGAGATGGAACTACGTTGCCATGGCAGGTCTGGGTTTCACCCTTACCCAGGATCTCCGCTCCTGCCTCCCCATCACCTATCACGGAGTCTAGACCCAGGAACGGTTACCAGGGGCTGAGCCACGACAGACTTGCCCAGGCAGGTCCAGGAAGACTGTGGAAGATACCTGTGAACTGAATCCATGGCAGTAATGCATGATGGGGGTGTTGCCTGGAACGGGCCCCTGATCCAAGCAGACATTTTCATCCAACAGGTTTTTCATCTGAAGGGACAAAACGCACGGCAACGCTGTTAGAAAGAGGCAGAGAATGAGGCCCCATCCCTCCCAGGGCCTACATTTTCCCCAACACACCGAGGGCACCAGGAACCAGCAGCCGCAAGGAGCAGAGGGCTGGGATCCCGGCAGGCATTTTCTAAGCACTGGGAAACAGACCGATGCTGAAGGGAGACGCTGCCACGATGCCCACATCCTGGAAACACCCACCACCTCGCACCATCGCCACACACAGGGAGGGGCGCCTCTGCAGAGTCAGGTGGGCAAGGCCAGTGGCTGCAGTTGGTGGAGAAACCGGGGTTGGGCGGGGTTGGGGGGTGTCCAGGCAAGAGCTACAGTTTTCAAGGGGAGTAGAAGCAGAGAGAAGGAAAAGAGATGGGGATTGGGGAGCAAGGGACAAAAGGAAACTGAGAGGGCTGAGGGCAAAGAGCTGAGGAAAAAGCCACGGTAGGAAGGGCGTCTTGGGCAGGACGGGCAATCACGTGATTCAGGCTGCACTGTCTTTCACAAACATCTAAAATTCAAAATGCAGTTTCATCATACATACTCTTCCATAGCCCACGATGGTGTGGATCGGCTTCAAGAGTGGATAAACGTTTTTCAGGTACCAGTCAAAGGTTTTACATTTCAGTTTTTCCCGGAGCGCAACTCTGGAAGAAATGTCTCCAAAATCTATTCCAGAGTTCTGTAAATAAAACACCAAGTGTTTCTGTGCTTTGACTGATGACAGCTCTGTTAAAGCAAACTAAATACGGCCTGAGAAGGACTCCATATTTCTGTATGTGAGTCCTTGTAGACGAACTGCAACCCAACTTAATAGACAAGATCGAAACTCTAACTTAGGACTATGCACCTGTAACAACAGCTGGGTCTTGGCCAATCCCAGCAGCCATACTTCAACCACTCATCCATTGTCGAGTGTTCAAACTGTGTTCCAATAAGGCAGACACGGAGCTGTAACCAATCCAGCTGTTTCTGTACCTCACCTCCAGTGTCTGCACGCCACTTCCCTTTTTTTGGTCTATAAATCTTCTTCCACCACGTGGCTGTGCTGGAGTCTCTGAATCTGCTGTGATTCTGGGTGTTGCCCCATTTGCGAATCATGCATTGCTCAGTTAGACTCCTTTACATTTAATGTGGCTGCAGTTTCTAACAGCGCCTTCACTCCACCAGTGGGTATGGACCACGCATGATGGAACTGAGTATTTTTCTGATAGCCTGTGAAGTAACCTTGATATTTTATATTTCCAGAGAAGGTGGAAAAACCTTAAACCCTAGAAAATTCTGCTCTTTCAAATTCTACTCCTTCAAGGCCCGCATAGTGGGGCCGCCCAGGTTTCTTTCTCCTCATGAGCTTATGCAGATTGCTCCTATTTGAGATGGTATTTACATCAATAAAATCCAAAATACTCCTCACGATAGGGCCAGAAAAGGCCAAAGGAGATTAAAAGAGACTTTTTGGAGATTAAAAGAGTTTATTGACACAAGAAGACTTCTGGAGATTAAAAGAGACTTTCTTAGAAGTGATATTTGTGGGGAATCAATGTAAAATACTAAAGAGGCAAATTAGAAAAAGCAGGAACCACTTGTGTATCTGCCTTCTTCCCAGAATTTCCCTTTGGGGCTCATTTCAGATCATCCCATGCAAAAATTTAGATCATCCTTTGACGGTTCAGTGTTTTACAGACAACTCTTCGTACAGCTTGGCACAGTCACAATATGACTCTGTAGAAATAAAAAAGCTGGGGATGTCCTGGAGGGTAGTTTTTTTTTCCTATCATACCTTGGCATCCTGGGACATCAGAATCAATTCTTACCCATCTCTCTTCAAACAGTGATCCAACTGTAAGAGGTTATTGGCAGCTTGGATTATGAAAGGAAGCACTTTGGCATCTTTAAATTATAAAGAAGGCTCAGGCATTTCCGCACATTTTTACCATCTCCAGACCTAGTGATCCCAGTGTTGACCTGGCTCCTGACCCTCGGAGTCCCTCCAGACTTTCTCTTCTAGGTCCCTCCACAGCTGCCCACCATCCTGACTCCCTGGCTTTCTGGGGGCTACATTAGAACCCGCTGTGGTGGAGGGATGAGTTTGTCGATGCGATGACTCCTCCCTTTGGGCCAACACAGCTCCATATGCTCTCGCCCGGAGCCAGAGCTCAGGGAAACCGGACAGCATAGCATGACCTTAAGCAGCCAGTGTATAAGATGTGGGCTTAGCTAAGAAGGCCATCCTTGGCTGGGTGCAGGGGCTGACACTTTCAAACTCAACATTTTGGGAGACCAGGAGTTCCAGACCAGCCTGGGCAAAATAGCAAGATCCTGTCTCTACCGAAAACACACACACACACACACACACACACACACACACACACACAACTTAAAAAAGAATGCTATCCTCATGCTTGTGCATCCAGCAAGATGACAGTGCCTTCTCCCACCACCCTACATCACACCTGCTGTGTTTATATCTCCCATTATAAAAGAGAGATGAAGAACAGGGAACTTACAAGCCAGATTTCCTTGGTTTGAATCTTACTCTCCACATTACCTTAAACAAGTTTCTTCCAACTCTCTGTGCTTCAGCTTCCTCATCTGTAAAACTTAGAATAACAAAAAGAAAACCTATCCCCTACATATGTTGTGACAGTTAATAAGTTAAAATATAGAAGGGTCCGGAATGCAGTACTGTACTGTTACATCAATGTTAAGAGCCATTATTATCACACCATCAGGACCTTATTCTAATTATTTAGGGCTGTGATGGCACTTTTGCTTTATCCCGCCCCATTACATAACTGCCACCTCCTCCTCTTTCATTCTTCCGTGCTGCTGTTCAGTTCCATGACTCACCTGGAGAGGTATGTTCCAGGCCAAGTAGACCATGTGTTTGTGCTCATCCATCCAGATTTCCGCCACTCGCAGAGCATTGCGCTTCAAGGCAGGGGTCAGATCCAAGGCGTAGGGCTTGTGGTGTCTCTCTAGGTGAGCAATCCGGGAGCAGGGCAAAATCTCAATCTTCCCTCCACACTGCCACACCTGCAGAAGAAGACCCAAAAATCACCTGCGCTTCACAGCCAATGGATTGCATAGCTGGCTGACACAAGAAGACTACATTTTAGAACCGTTTTTAAAGAATGTAAGCTCAGTCCTCCCACTCCTGCCTTTATATGGCCTCCTAACCGTCTTATCTAAATCATCTTTCCTTAGAAATCTACCGAACTGCTTCTCTCCTGTCATTCAAACAGCTCCTGGAATCATACTTCTTTCAGCAAGTCCTCCTACATGGACCAAAGGAGGGGCCTCTGCTCCCTTACCCCCGTGTCCGGAGAGGCGCCATGCCCTGAGCCACTCTCACTGCACTAAGTTCCTCCTGCCCCTTCTCTGCCTGCATGCTAGACATAGGGCAGTGTGGCACACAGATGCCAAAGTGCCCCCATGGTCCCTCCTCCTGGTGTCTACAGCCTTGCCTGATCCCCTCTCCCTTGAGTGTGGGCCTGTGACATGCTTCTAACCAGCAGAATATGGCAAAGATGGCAGGACGTGCTTGATTGCATGGATCATGAATACACTGCATAAGACTGTAGAGTCCATTTTGCCAAGAGATGCTCTCTCTTGTTGGCTTTGAAGAAGGAAGCTGCCATGTTGTCAGCTAACACATGAAAAGGGAAGACATTAAGAGTGGCTTCCAACCCATACCCAGCATGAAACTGAATGCTTCCTCAGCCTGGAAGACTTTAAGGAACTGAATGCTGCCAATAAGAATGTGAGCTTGAAAGCAGATCTTTCCCCAGTGGAGCCCAGATGAGAACCCAACCATGGCTGACACCTTGATGGCAGCCTTACAGAAGACCCAGCTAAACTGTGCATGGGCCTCTGACCCACAGAAACTGTGAAATAATGAATGCATCTTGCTTTCAAACACTAAGTTGTGATAACACTGTTATACAGCAATAGATAACTAATTTGCGTAACTTGACCAAAAGGTACCATGGCTTATGACCCAATTACAAACATTCATTTGTACCATCCTGATGGGTATAAAACATACTTGTCAAAACGCACATTCTCATATTGAGTTTAGAAAATATGATGTTCATCTCAGTAGCTAATGGGACTATCCAATCATATTGGATTGATGTGATGTCTCCTGTGTCTTCTCTTCACGGTTGCCTAAGTGAGCTGCAGTTTCTGGGAGGTAATTAGCCCATAGCAGTGGCTAGCAACCTAGCACACTCATGTCAGTGGGAGTGCCTGAGATAACGGTGTGTAGCTCAGGCCCCACTGGTTCAGTTAACTTACCAAAGGAGTGTCCAACTGAGTAGTCAGTCTCATTATCTGACTTTCAAATTGTTTTCATCCTTTTCTCCACTTCTTAAAACCCTGGATTCCCCTTCCTTTACACCCTATTTCCCAGAACAATGAATGAAGTTAAAAAAAAAAAAAAAAAAGGCTTTGAAATCAGACTGACCTATGTTCAAATTCTGGTTCCATCATTGCACACCTGGCAGCTAGCGTGTTTTGCAGCTGCCAGTTGTGCAATGATGGAAAAAGCTGACCCTCAACTTACTCATCTGCTAAAAGGGCACAGTGACTCTTTGGACTGTCACCAGGATCAAATGACATAACAAGAAATCAGTTATGGCAGCCTCTGAGATAACCTGAAGTACACATTTTCTTTCATTATCCTTCTTTGGCTCTCCTCACTGGCCCCCAGAATGATGTGGAGGTTACATCCAGCTTGCACTCAAATATTATTCTTCTCTCTAGCCAAACATTCAAAATCCAAATATAACCTTACTCCAATTTTCCTAGCTGATGGAGGTCTTCACCTCACATGAATTCAGGGAGAAAAATTAACTTTGTCATAAGAAATCTTAAATTCAAGTTAAAAGTCAAGATTGCTGAGGCTAGGTGTGGTGGTTCATGCCCATCATCCCAGCAATTTGAGAGGCTGGGGCAGGCAGATCACTTGAGGTCAGGAATTTGAGACCAGCCTGGCCAACATGGTGAAACCCTGTCTCTACTAAAAATACAAAAAGTAGCCGGGTGTGTTGGTGTGCACCTGTAATCCCAGCTACTCAGGAGGCTGAGGCGGGGGAATCACTTGAACCTGGGAGGTAGAGCTCGCAATGAACCTAGATTGCGCCACTGCACTCCAGCCTGGGCAACAGAGCAAGACTCTGTCTCAAAAGAAAAAAAAAAGATTGCCATTTATGAAGTAATGCCCATAATTAGCTTTGCCCAAAAGTCTTCAAACTCTGCTCTCAAAATTTATTCCCACTTGCCAAACTCCTTCCATCATCTCTCTCTCTCTCTCCCCCCCTCTTTCTCTCTCTCTCTCTCTCTCTCTCTCTCACACACACACACACACACGCACACACACACAGACACTAAGCTTCTGATGATAATAATATATTACTTTGTGCCATATACTGTCCTAATACTTTCCACAAATTTAATCCTCACCATACAGGTATCTCCCTTTAAGTAACCTGCCCATGTTTGCCAGCTAGTAAATGACAGAGCTGCATTGTGAACCCAGGAAGTTACATGTCCGGTTCTGGCACAGCGCGTGAAATAAACAAGGTGCTCAACAAATGCTGTTTTTCCTTTCCTACCCGTATCTCCCTTCTTCACCTTTCCTACCCATCATCTCCATGTACACATTGATGAGCACCATCCCTGCCATGGCCACTAGATGTCAGAATAAAGCGCTCTATGTAGCTCTGATATTCAAGATCTGCTACTGGAGAAAGATCCTAATAAGTGCTTAGAAGTTTTAAAAGGCAAATAGTCACACACAAACCAAGAAGCTGGATATGGGCAGAACTGCTTGATCCAAAGAAAAGGAAAAGGATGACCCTATATTTTAAGCAAAGTCCATTTTAAAACTCACAAAGTATTAAAATAAATAGAACGTATTGTAGAAACTGAAATGGCAGTGTTTTATGTATGTTTGGGAGAATGAAAACAGAGAGACTCAGCCTAGGTGCAGAAGGAGAGAACAAAGCATAAGGAACTCAGAAATAATGAGGGCTTTGGGTCCTAAGTTGAAGAATTGGAGAATTCACCTAAAGCTCTGGTAGGTAGGAAAACCCAGCCAGAGTGTAACTAGGGTCATCCTCAACACTTTGCTAAGTACCATACATAAAGTATTTTTGCATTTATAATTTTTGTGTGAGAGACTACTTGTACTCCCAAAGTCTATTCTGCTCTACATCTCCAGTTATAGAAGAAACACCTGGGCATATAACCCACTAACTAAAGTCTATATTTCCCAGACTCCTTTGCACACAGGTGTGGCCATGTGACTAGCTAATGGCCAATAGGATGTGAAAAGAAACAATATACACAACTTTCAGGTAGTGCTCTTCAAAAGAAAGAGCTTGCTCTCTCTCTTCCCCCTTTTCTCTCCCTACCGGCTAGAATACAAATACGGTGTTGAGTGTGGCAGGACCACAAAATAAAAGTCTTGGTCCCTATCACCCTAGAGCTACCATATCAATCCTGAACTGCTTATGTTCAAACTGTTGTAAGAAAGAGAATTAATTTCTATCATGTTGAAGCTTCTGTTATTTTAGCTTCTGTCAGAGAAGCTGAGTGAGCATTCTAATTAATATCTTTATAAAATTATATCAAATTCATTATTACATCGTGACTGTACCATCATTCTTATGAGGTACATTAAACAAAATGCTTCTCTCCATTTCACAAATGGGAAAACTGATCAGACCACTGTATTTGTCTGTTTTCACACTGCCATAGAGAACTGCCTGAGACTGGGTAATTTACATAGGAAAGAGGTTTCGTTGACTCACAATTCATCACGGCTAGAGAGGTCTCAGGAAAATTACAATCATGGCAGAAGACGAAGAGGAAGCAAGGCACCTTCTTCACAAGGCGGCAGGAAGGAGAATGAACGCAGGAGGAACTACCAAACACTTATAAAACCATCAGATCTTGTGAAAACTCACCATCAGGAGAACAACCAGGTGGAAACCCTCCCATCATTATCCAATTACCTCCACCTGGTCTCTCCTTTGACACGTGGGGATTGTGTGGATTATAATTTAAGATGAGATTTGAGTGGGGACACAAAGCCTAACCATATCAACCACCATCCCAAAAAGTTAGTTTTCTCTGCCAAAGAATGATTATGGCTTAAGGTATAACCCAGACAAGACTCAAAAGTTCATTAAATGTGGAGTCCTGAGTGGGTCCTTATTGGGTACAGTACATGGCTATGGGGTCATCAGTTTCAGTTAGAAAGAAATTAAAAAGAGTGGAATGAAATAAACTCTAGATGGGAAATTACTTTGTTCCTCCAGACACCACAATGGACCAGAGATCACCTTGTCACAAGCACAGAATTTCAGGGCTTGGAGGGGAAAAAAAGGTCATCTTATAGAAGCTTAGTCCACAGTGAGTTAGTAGAGACAGCATTAGAACTCAGGGTCAGTGTTTATTACAATGCCACCCTGACATTCTTATTATTGTCACTTTTACCATTAAACATTTATTGAGTGTAAACCGTGTATCACTCACCATACGAGGTGCTTGATGCAGGAGGTAAGGTTTAGAGGGCTTGTATGTTGCACACAAACTCTTGAGTGGCAAAGCAGGATTTTGACTTACGTCTGTCTGTCTCCAATACCTGTGTAATTTCCACTACTTTCCATTGCCTCTTTTAAGAGTTCAGCCTTAGCCTGAAAGATGAAAGATGAACTACCGAGAACAAACACAAACCCACAGGCCAGCCCCTTCTAATGAGGCCCTGAAGATTATGCCAAAAAGGTAAAAGAGATACTGTGGAAATGATATTTTATCCACAAAACCTCTTCTAAATTGATCCTGATGCATGAAAATTTATTGGCCCTAATTCTTCACACCATTTTAGGGTTGGCCATGTGACTTATACTCTGAAATAGCTTGCTACTTCTAAACCTAGGCCTTACAAGACTTCACATGGTCCCATTGGCCCTCTTGTACACCATAAGAAGAGCTTTCTGTCCTAGGTAGCTGCTATCCCACATTTG